TCACATCTAAGCTAAAAGTTTGTTTGACAAAATTTAAGATTGTGTGCTGTGTATATTTATTATGTGTATATAAATACAAACACATGCATATATTTAAGAAAAAAAGTTATTTATGTTTGTATATTAATGTAAATATTTTTGTAACAAAAGTTTTTGTTTGTGTATGTGTCACATACAGGTAATAAATATATAATACAAATATATTATTAAAAAATGTATATTTTGAATGTGATTAATTAAAATAGCTATTGTAAAAGCAAACCTCTTCAGAGCACTTCTCCTTTTCCCCTTTTTATATTTACATAACTGCAACATAAACACACACACACATATTTTTTTTTTTACATTTAATGTCAGAATTATTAGCCCCATTTTTAATTTTGTTTTTCTTTTTTTATATTTTCCAGATTATGCTTAACAAAGCAGGGAAATTTTCCCAATATGTCTGATAATATTTTTTTCTTTTAAAATGCTTTTTAAAAAATTAAAAACGGCTTTCATTCTAGCCGAAATAAAACAAATAAGACTTTCTCCAGAAGAAAAAATATTATCAGACATACTGAACTTTCCCCTGCTCTGTTAAACATAATTTGAGAAATATTTAAAAAAGAGGGGCTAATAATTCAGACTTCAACTGTATATGTTAACTGAAAGGAAATACTAGTTTGTTTTGCTGTTAATTGAAAAATATTAATATATGATTATGAATTTATGTATGGTTTTAGACTTTTCTTAAGCAAAATAAAAGGCTAAATAGCTGAATTGAGAATAATGTAAATAACATATGGTTTTACTGATGAGCAATATTATAATATTAATAGTAGGCATAACTATTTATGATTGTTATTGGTGGTGGTGGGTTGTTGTTTTCATTTTTGTTTTATAATTTCTCATACTGTAATTTTTATTTTTCTCGTATATGACCCCAACTTACAACAAAATATGTGCCAGATAAACTCACATTATTGTTATTATTATTATTAATAATAATAATAATAATAATAATAATAATAATATACATAGACATTATCGTTTCAAGCTTATCAGTGTCAATAAACAATAATATATATATTTGATATGATAACTTTCTTGCCTGCAGTCATCCAAACCACAGCTTCTGCGTTCCTCCTCCTCGTCACGTGGCGGCAGTGCACGCTCGTGTGTACTTTCCGATCAAAACACACGTAGAAATGTGTGTTCGTGATGTATTGTCCTAAAGGCAAACATTCCCCTGTCGCGTATACGTTTTAAAACTAGTCTTTAGGTATAGAAAATCAATATACCACTTGCTGCTCTCTTGGCTAATAGATATTTTAAGTATATGAGGCGCCGCTAATGATTTTATATAACCGTTCCCATGTGAAGAATTCATGTGCAAACCATCGTAGAAAGATGTTACGTGAAGAAAACCCGGACATAATTGATTAGTTCGAGATTCAACTATAAGCATTCACCGGTATGGATTTCTGAACTGTCACCAAGAGTGGATTAATAGATGATGGTTCATCCAAAAAGCAGATCTTGAAGTGGACTTTGTCGGCACTGGAGAATTCAGTAAGAAACATTTAATCTGTAAAAGAATATATGCTAATATTGTGATTTACGAGACATTTAGTTTATATACACACAGCAAAAGGGCTGTTTATAAGTAATACTTTATATCTTATGGGGTATGACATTAATGCATGCTGTGTTTTCTAGGTTGCCCATGAAAATGGAGTTTCCAGGACACAGTCAGCATCTCTTGGCAAGCTTGCGCTCTCAGCGTCTGCAAGGTTTCCTCTGTGACTGCATTGTGCAAGTCGGCTCAACTCATTTCAGAGCCCACCGTGCTGTACTGGCCACTTTCTCCCCTTTCTTCCATATGTTTTACTCGGATCAGTCAGTGGGGAACTCAACCACAGTTAACGGAGGACCACAGAGAGACACGGTGTGTATTAATGGAGACATCGTGACTCCTCAAGCCTTTGGGCTCCTGCTTGATTTCATGTATGAAGGGGTACTCCTACAAGCAGCCCACCCGCCTCCAGAGGATGTGCTCGCCGCTGCCAGCTTTTTACATATGAATGACGTGGTGAGGGTTTGCAAGAGAAGACTGCAGGGTCGAGGAATGGCTGAGGCCGACAGCACAAGAGTAGAAGTAGGTACAAATGAGTCCGCTAAACCTGGAGTACTCGACCACTCTCCTGGAGAAGACGCAGCTGGTGCGGAAAGAGATGGAGCACTGGCGCATTGTTCCCAGTCCAGCCAGCAGATATCACTTTTTATCGATGCCAAGAGTGCAACGCAAGCAGGAATGCCTAAAATGCTCACACACAGTGTGGAGAGTTCAGAAATGGCAGACACTACTCAACCAGGAATGGATTCACAACCAGCTGTTAGTAATTCTTCTTCCGGTCCATCCGCTTCACCAAAACCAGACAAGATTAGAATATCAGCACGGTCCACTAGCCTTGAGTCGGCTCTTTCAAGTCCTTGTAGTTCAACAGAACTGATTCAAACAGAAACACAACCGGTTGTAGCCACTGCCGCAGCTCTGAGTAGGGTGGAAAACAACACCAACTCTGCTCCAGAACATGAACCCAGTGTCTTTATACACGCTCAAATGCTAAAAACCCAGAATAAGTATAGTGGAAATCCTGGCTCATCACAGCAAATCCAGAACTCGAATGAACAGAGAAATAAGAGCACTGCAAGAGTCATGCAAAATAGGTGTAAAAAACCTCCGACGTTAGTTGAGTACAGTGATGAAAACGGCAAAGTGAAGGTGGAGGCCATTGTGATTTCTGATGAGGAGTCTGATGATGCAGAAACTGTGGTCATGGATGACAGCCCAAGGATGAATGCAGATTTAGATCACACTGACGATTATGATGACAGTAACCACGATGTGGAGGAGCTCACTGATACTCAATTCATACCTGCACACCAGTTAATTCATCTTCCCCATCAAGAGCCCCTTTCTTTCCCTCCTTCACCGCAAGGCCCTAATAATTCCACGGCAGAATCCAGCAACTTCCCGTCATCCATTTTTCAGACTGGTTCCCAATCAGAACAGCAGGCCATGTACCTTGAGGATTTTCAGGACTCGCTTGGGAATTATGTGGACGATGTGCCTACTTGTAGCACTTGTGGAAAGACATTTTCCTGCGCGTACACCTTGAGGAGACATGCCATTGTGCACACCAGGGAACGGCCGTATGAATGCAGCTACTGTTACCGGAGTTACACTCAGTCTGGAGACTTATACAGGCACATCAGAAAGGCACATGATCAAGGCCTGCCAGTCAAACGCAGCAGAGTCGAGTCAGACCCTCCATCTTCATCGCCACCTCCAAATCCTCCTCAGACATAGCTAATATTTCCTGTCCTGCAGAGTTTAGCTTTGAGTATAGATAACATTTGAACCAGCTAATCAAGGTTTTGGACTTAAAGGCAGATGTGGTAAAGCTAAACTCTGGATGAGCTGGATTGGACACAACTGCTCCTTCAGGAAATTACACATATACATCTAAAGGTTTTGGCAGATGTTATGAATTATCATGATATTTACCTAAATCATATCTCTGTGGCTCATGCCTTAAAAACGGTAAATGCATTGAAAAGGAAACCACTTGATTGCTTCCATGCAATCAACCAATTGAACTAAATTAATGCATTTTGTAAGTGGTTTTAGTTTTTCAGGTTCTTGAACCTTATGATGTTGCACAATCTGGTTTTACATTTCATCGCTAAAGCGAATGGTTTTAATGTAAAAAGGGGGAAAAGAAGTATCAGTGAATTATAACGGACCATGAGTGGTCAAACAAAGCCTTTTTTTAGCTCATAATTCACCCGAACTGAAAATTCTGTAGTCATTTACTCACTCAAGTCATTTCCAAAAAGTGTTTCATATTATAAACAAAATATTATACAAAATAAATGTAAGTAAATTGACAATTAAATTGTGATTTTAATTTAGCTTTTAATTCTAGAAAAACATGAATCAGAGGAAATAATATCACAATCATACATGTGAATAAAAGCCTGATCATTATAAAAAGCAATTCTGTCCCTTTTTAAAATTATTTTTAAATCTGTTGAAACATGCGAACGAGATGAATTAAACTTCTTTAGATTCCATAGAAATATCTTCATCTATTTTTCCATGATGAATACATTTCTTGAGGGTTTAAACTGGAATTACTTGAGGCTGAGGAAATGATGATAGCATTTTCATTTTAGAGTGAACAAAGCCTATTTATTTCATGGTGATGTTTTACAGTTTTGTTGTTTGTTTTTTATAAAGAATTATATCTGTTATACCAAGAAATAAGCATTTCGATCCTTTAAAGCAGTTAACTGACTATCACTTATGGAAATGTTTTGCTGTGTATGTGTTTTGTGCTGTTTTGTGTGAGAGTGAAATCAATGCTTTTATTCGCCAGTGATACATTAAATTTGTTCATCCAATTTGTTCACTCGTTGTTCATCCAAAAATCTTACATGGAAAAAAAATCCTTACTATCATGTGACAGATTGGAGTAATTTAGCTGTGAAATTAGGTACAAGACAGCTATTTCAAAGGGCACCTATGATCATCTTTTGTAAACTGTTTGGACAACTGTGTGTACGTATAGTGTGTCCACAGTTATACTGGGATTGATAATAGACAATAGGTCTCAATGTTTTGAATCTCTTAACATTAAAATAAGATCTAAATCCGTCCCATTTTGAGGCCGACCGCAATGTGACGTAGGAGTGTGGTTTCCCCGCCCACCGAATTGATTGACAGCTGCTTATTAACATGTGTCCGTAGTAATGTGTCATATCAACAAGTCAGGACATGTGCAAAGCAACTGGGATTAAAGATCGTCATCAAGAATGAGTTTTACAAGTTTAAAAGTTTTTCAAACAGTGCATGTTTGTAATGAATTACAGCAATTTTACTTTATCTTTAATTTATCACCACAGCTGCTTGTTAGTATAATTATAAAAGAAGACGCTTCAATCTCGGTTTGTGGATGTTAAATCAGGTTTATTTTGTACATTAACATAACAGATATCCATATAGCGGTGGATATTAACGTTTATATCCTGTCACATTTGCCATGCAAAAGCAGTGTATAGTAAAGCGTGCGTTCTCTATGTATATCTGTGTGCGTGAACTTTATAACAACATTGTGTGTGATACATTGAAAGGCTCAAAAAAACTGCACCCAATACATCAAAAAATCATTGGGAAAGTTTTCACTATAGAATTTCTCACAAATGTTATGTGAGATCTGCTTCCTTCATGTCTGTCACTGTGCTGTTTATCTGACACAGTCGTGGGGAAGATTAAGGCACACTCTGACAGGCCTGGTGGGTGGAGAACGGTGGGTGGAGGGAACCAGCATTAAAGGCACAGGCCACAAAAACAGCTTCATAGTGTTCAGAGCAGAACATTTGAATATTCCGAAAGGGATAATAAATAATCTGATTGGTGTTTTGAGCTGAAACACATTCTGGAGACACGAAAGACTTATCTTAAATCTAGAAAAAGGGGTCAAATAGGTGCCCTCTACTGATATTTCACAATATTACAATCTTTACTGTATTTAAATCAAACAAATGTAACCTTGGTGAACACGAGACTTGTTTCAAAAAACATAACTGCAATCTTTTATCACTAATGAATATCAAATCAAAATGTATTGTTACTATTAAATAATGAGCAGCTACATGGCAAAAGTAAGAGTTTGCACAAGGGAAAACAATAAAACAACACTTTAATAGATTGTTAGATTGTGACATTCATGGTAAGTGTGGTAAAAATGGTGGTCTTCCAGCAAAAGATTATTTTAACATTTGTTTTACTGTAACCGTGTACTTGGAGGGGAAGGGGGGGGGGGGTAGATCTCCATAATAAAACAGCATCCGTTATCAGTCATCCACTGGTCCATGTATCTGCAGGAAGAGGTATTGATTTAAGTTAATGCAGGTGCCCAAACTCAGAGGGCCGGTGTCCTGCAAAGTTTAGTTCCAAACCCAGTTAGACACACCTGAACCATTTAATCAAGCTCTTTCTAGGTATCAAGCAGGTGTGTTGAAGAAAGTAAACTATTCAGGACACCAACCCTTCAGGACCAAGTTTGAGCATCCCTGCTTTAGAGAATTTGAATTGGCAGAAAATGTGTTTATTACATTATTATCTGCTGTGTTAATGACAATAAATAAGTGCTTCAGAAAGTAACTCACCGCCTCTGCTAACTCTGGCCATGCCATCGCCATCACAACTCCGTCATCAGATGTGGGAGGCGTCTCCAAATTCCAGTATGTGAAATGATGAAACACTGAAGAAACTTTTACTACTCTGTCCTGGAAACAATTGTTAGAAATCATTAAAGATGTGTTTCCTAGAAAGTAGACATCTAACATTTAAACATGTTTGATTTGCAGGCACCTCTTGATCAGATGCCGGCTTCTGGACCTCTTTCAGCACCACTCCTGTGTATCCTTGTGGGCATTGCAACTCCTGACCCTTCAGCCCTCGGCCTCTGAATGATACTGTGGTTTCTGCCAAACACAATGTTATCTTTATCGGGTGGAGTGCTAAAACTTGAGTTGTAGTCTCGAGGTGTGTGCTGGTGTTTGACTAACCATGTTTGCGTTCCTTCACTGTGGGATTAAAGAACTTGAAGACTTCGGCGGGTCCGTCATGCTCTACTTCACAAGGTAACAGGTGGATCTGTGGTTTGTCAGCTTGTTTGATGGAATCACGTCGGATGGATGTCACACAACTATTTGCCGTCATCTAGTAAAACAAACTTGTTATTAGGATTTCAAGTATTTTATGCGAGAGTGATACCAGGCAGTCCACATGTGGCTTTGTGCACTTATGAACATGTTTTGTTGTTATAATGGTTCAAGTTAATTGAAGTAAAGTTGGTTTTATAGACCATTTTGAGGCATGTAAACAAAAACAATGGTCCTGTTTCCTGCTTTACATTTTTAATTTCTATAGCTTCGAGAATCCAAAAAGAGCCACATATTGATAATGTCATGATAGCTGTTTTACATTAAGGTATGATTGAATTGCCTCTTGTTACAGTGATGAAATAGTCTGAAAACCAGCAGGAAATATTCATGAGCCAATGACATCACTACATTGAAATGGTCAATACACATCAGGGCTAAACAATAAGGACTGCCCGGTGGCCCAGGGCCGCCGTGAGAGACACTTGGGACAGTAGACCGGATCATTAATGGCCCGATTGGGACAGTGCTGCCTTGTCACTAATATTTAATTTGTCTGTGACTATTTGTCAATTGCATGCATTTTAAGTTTGTGCTTTTAAATCTTTAAATGCTACCTTCTCTGTAATGTCGTAAACAACATATTGCTTTCCGATTCGTCTTATCGGATTGATTTGACCATGCTATTTTTTTTTTGTAACCTGGTAACAACCAATACAGCGTAGAAACAGCAACATAGCGGCAACATCAAATTAAAAGGCTAAACGAAAATGTCTGTCTCTAACGTGTTGGAAGTAGACATTTACATGGAAACAACACGACAAAATAATAATGAAGTGATGTTATGCATAGTTTGCCATCACTTTGACATGTCAGCCACCTTTTTTTTTTTAATAATTTCAAACTGCAATAAAATGCCTCCACATTTTCCATACTGCTCTTTTTGTTTGCATAACACTTATATTTACAATTGTTTTTTAAGTATTGAAATTCTAGATTTACAGACTTTATTTTTGACACATTGTTTAAAATATGTGGTTAAAAATAGCTATTAACTTCCCTTTTTTTTGGTGGGGCCAGTGGAAATTTTGGCAGGGCAAGTAAAAATCTAAACCACTTGCCCGATCAGACCAGTAGAAAAAATCCTTAGCGTTGAACCCTGCACATTCTGACTTTCTCCTTAATAATTTCAGAAAATTAGCCTTTGCAATTTATAAATAGTGAAATTATATTAGCAGCCCACGATCAAAGTACAACATCAGTCCATAAAATAGTGCTAATGTTGTTTTGTAGTTGCACTTACATGAGATTTTAAACTGAATATTCAAAGTCTCATGGTAAACAAAATAGGGACCGTGTCAGAAGTTGACATTGAACCAATGTGCGGAAATAAAACCTACTTTACCTCAATTTCAAGTTTCAATATATGTGCTATAAATTGATATACACATTTGTTGTATTTTGGCTTTGACATTAGTGCTTAATGTACACAAAAGCCTATGCAAAGCTGTTCAATGGCAGATTGCATTTTAACAATGTCCCAAGACTAACAAAATCCAAACCTTTTCTCTAAATGTTTTACTGAGAGCAGTCTAAAATAAGACACGAAGGCCAGGTGAACAATCATTAAGTATTAAAATAAATATATACAGTTTAGTTATTGAAAGCTATTATAAAGTTAAACTTAAAGAGTGATACTGTGTTTCAAACAATAAAATCTACTCTGAAAAAGCTACTTATATCAACAACAAGAATGTTAAAAGTGTAATATATTATGGCAACAGAAGTTTTTCATCTAGAACAAATGCGGTGATATATACATTTTAGGGCTCTGTAATTAATCAAACGGCAATCGAAATCAACATTCAGAATCTATAATGGATCAAATTCTTGATCCATGTCAATTTTTTTAATTACTTTTCTTACCACATGTGGAGTTTCGTGACCACGCTCTGTTAAGGCTGATTTATACTACTGTGTCGAGTACACAGGTATGGTCTGGCGCAGCCTTCGTGCAGTCGAATACCTGCGCACCTTTAAAAAATGTAACTGCACGTTTGCACTACATTGACAATGATTGGAAGCTTTGCCAGATTTGCCCTGAGATGGCTTATTCTCCTTTACAATAAAATTATTATTTACATTAAAAAATTTGTTTACAAAAGATTGAAGAATAGTGCTGTTTAAACTGTTATTCGCGACATATTCCAGTTATTTGATTTAGAAGAGATGCTGCTAAATTTCTACTTTAATATGAAAAACATTTTAAATCATTTATTTTGTTTCTAAAAGTTATTTATTGCAGACGCGGTGGTGCAGTAGGTAGTGCTGTCGCCTCGCAGCAAGAAGGTTGCTGGTTCGAGCCTCGTTTGGGTCAGTTGGCATTTCTGTGTGCTAAAATTGTATGGGTGTTTCTCAGTGATGTTTTGCAGCTGGAAGGGCATCCGCTGCGTAAAACATATGCTGGATATGTTGGCTGTTTATTCCGCTGTGGTGACCCCAGAATAATAAAGGGACTAAGCCGAAAAGAAAATGAAAGAATAAATTAAGTTATTTACTTACACTTTTATAGGAAAAAGTGACTCTTGGTTTTATGCAATGTATGTTTTCAATTTCAGTTGTTCAGCGATGATGTTCACCTTTCATTCAAAACTCTCTTATTTGTAATATGTGAGCATATTTACTGTACATACCTTGTCGGTGAACTGAGGGCATTACATTTTAATTAATAATTAACCTGTCATTTTTTTAACACCTTTTTTCCAGCTTTTCTTTTTTTTGCTTGTTTTATTATACAACAAAATCACGTTCTTTAACAAGAATTAAACGAGTAAAGACATTAAATTACAATAAAGGAACCAAGGAGAGGGTACGTAATAATAAAATTACATACAATCATTTCTCCAATTGTAGTTATTAACAGGAGTTATTAAATGCACTTCTACAACAGAAAATACATGTATACAAACATTATTTTTATACTTATAAATCACTTTTCCACACATATTAATGTCTTTTTTCTAGCAGAGAAGAGAGGCTGCTTCTGGCACAATTGGATTTGTGTATGTGAAACTTACAAAGTAAGTTCATTATAAAGCCATCATTTTTTATAGGGTGACCTTGACCATAATTATCCAAAACCACGTGTTTATAAGATAAGAAAAATTTTCAAAAGATATTTTGAGCAATAAAACCTTCAACATTAATACAAAGCAGCGATATCTTACCATGCTCGTCGTTTTAACACTGTTTATAAGTGTCACATGGGTCAGCTGCGTTTACTTTGATTGGACGCGATGCATTTCTTCGTCAACACGTTGTTCCTTTTCGCGGTAAAATCCATGGCCTTCTGCCACCTACCGTTTCGTAGTAGGTGTAGAGTTGATAATGACAGTGGTTTTTCATAAATATTATTAACCGGACGTTTATAAAAACAAAGAGCGACATATACACAAGCAATGATGTAATAACGTGGTAAATATTTGTTCGCAGCTCATTGTTTACAGGCGCCCTGCAAGTGCAACAGTCATTATAGTCCCACTAGGAACTGGGAAGGACTAGGAACTACATTTCTCTATGGCGAACGTGTTTTGGTCATGCCTTCACTATTCGATAGCATCTATAATGTTAGTTCAGTTAGATAAGTGATTGCACTATCTGTAGGGAAAATGGATGTAGTTCCGTGTTTAAAAGTGCCGCAGCGTCACGCACAAATGTACAGGTAGGCAGACAGCAAACTGTTGTTTTGCGTTGCATGTTTATGTAAGCAACATGTTAGTATCATGTTCTTGCGTTATAATATTCAACTTATATTTGAAATAAACTTGATATGTGTTATTTTTCTGTAAGCCTCTTTATGTCGATATTTAAAAGGTAATATTGATATTTGAAATTCTGAAGAGACAATATCAGTAGTTTATGGGACACCACCAGTCCCTGAAAATAAAAACATAAATATACAGTGAATAAAAAGTATTTCATCCCACAAAATTACTAGAATGGCCTGATGGTGGATTTCTTTGAGTTGTTCTGTAAAGGAATATGTCATTCATTAGGTTCTCAGATTTGTTTTCTTTACAGTACAGCTGTAATAGTTCTGTTATGATTAAAACTGTTATTTAGAAATAGGATATAGCACGTTTAAGTTGTTTTCATTCACATTGATTAATTAAAAACATGATATTATGAAAAAATTCTACAAATAAACATTATTAATGACGTTCTGTCATTGAATTGTATGATGTTTTTGTATGATTTTTTGAAGACGACAAGCTTATATCCGGCCCTGTCACCTTTTTTATTGTGAAAACTTACCTTTTTAAGTGAAAATATAAATTTCTGGTAGAATGTCCTTCATAAAGTAAAACAAAAATGAAAACTTACTCAAAACGCACACCTTTTAATGGAAAATCCAAAAAAAAAAAAAACTAACTTTCTTCCTGTGCTCTATATATTTTTACAATTGTCTGTGTTTATTTTAACAGCTTATTGTTGTATTAATGTGTTTACTGCTTTTCAGAAAATACTTAGAGTCACAAGGTGTTCTGGACCGTAGGTACGGTGCAGAGAAACACTCCGATGGCACTGTAACTCTTCCGGTTGTAGCATCTGCTTTGCCACAGCTTGATCTGGTGGCACTAAAGGAACATGTCGCACAGGACAGCTTTTGTGAAATTGTTGATATCCAGGTAAACATAAACTGATGTTTGCACCCAAATCACTGAACGTCTGAACTGCAAAATAAAATATATTCATTTTTTTAGGCTCAATTGTCAAAGAAGAGCAAAGTTAAGTCAGTCCATATGAAGCTTGTAGAGGCTGCACGGTCCTTTCTGCTTTCTAAAGGGAAAGAATGGAGTGAAGATCTAGGGAGAGACATTCCTGGCCGATGGCAGTGTCATGGAGATCTTGTGCTGTTTACTGAAGGCTGCTTCTCCAATGCAGTATGGAAAGAAATTGGTGTGTGATATTAAATCCCAAACCCACTATAGTTTCAGCGTTGTGTTCATATCCTCTGCACATATACATTTGTAATTATGTTCATATCCATCTGCATACCTTTGATTATTAATAGCAGCCTGTGCATATATTCATCTATTGTAAATCTCTGTTCATAGTTAATATAACCTTGATGTAATATTCATAGTACATTCATCTGTTAATAGCACCATAGTTTTTCTGTGCACTTTATTCCTATATCCTGCACTTGCTGCTATTGCACTCCTGGTTAGACCTAAACTGCATGTGTAATGACAATAAAGTTTAATCTAATCTAATATATAATAATAGTAATAATCTATGTCCTCTGTTAAAATTGATCTACTATGTCTGATTGCATGCACAATATATTTTGTTTGTTTTAGGGTCTGAATTCTGGACTGCAGTTGCGCTGACGCTCGGAGTTAAACGTATTGCACAAATTAAAAAGATTTCCCAGGATGGTTATCGAACACCTATAGTGACGATGCTTTTAGGTGACAGCAGCCATGTAACACACATTGATAACCACATTAGGTATCTAATATTTTGTCTTGTTATTTAAAATATGCATCTCAACATATATTAACCCTTATAAAAAAATTTTTGTAAGAGAAAAAAAAGCATAATTTTTAGGCATAATTAACTACAATTATTTTTCATTCATTCACATTTTCCCCCTGTTTTTAATGTTTTGTGTTGGATCATTTTGGAACAGGGCGTATGTCAAGTATCTATAGATGTCCGAAAATATTTGTGCAAAATTATCTATTAAGCATTAGTGATCTCAAAAGTAACTTCCCCATATCTCACACACTTCTGGGATTGAATTTTGTTAAAACAAAACATTAATACTGTATACTGTATATGCCTTTTGACAAACATTTGAAGCCATGAACACATTTTTATGTGAAAGAGATTCTTTATGCAAGTAAAAATTGAAGTTGAAAAAAAATAGAAATGTAAAGTATCTATAAATAATATTAGAAAATTAGAAAATATTTATTATTGATCTCTAAAGTAACTTTGCCAAATCTCACACACTTTTAAGAGTGAATTTATATTTTGAAAAACGTGAATACTGTGTCCATCAACAATGCCTTCTGACAAACATTTGAAATCGTGAACACATCACTTTTTTATCTGAAAGGTATTCTTAATGCAAGTAAAATTGTTTATTTTGTTTAAAATCAGGCAAAAATGTTGTTTGTCTTGAATCAGTAATTTCAAATGTGTTGTTAATGGTGGTAGTTTTCAGATTATACATTTATTTTAAAATGTATTATATTATAAAGTTGATATAATAATGTGAGAAATATACATTTTATCCAACAATAAATTCAGATTTCTATATAGAAGCCAACAGTATATACATTTTTAATATTTCTATGTTCTAGTTTATTATTTAAAGCAAAAAACTTAAGAAAAATCTGAAAATAATACAACTTTAATTACGTTAGCCCGTTTTTCACATTCAATTATTATTAAGAAGCTTCGTGTCAGATAAAGTATAGTTTTAATTTATATATAGTTATGACATGATTCATCAGTCCCTGATTACAAATATACTGTACACACTGCAATAAATTGGTTTTCTTACTTAGATTTTTTGTTTTCTTTCTAGTCTAAATATCTAAAAATTCTTATATCAAGAAGCATTTTCTTGGCAAACAAAACATATGGTCTAGTTTTCAGAAATAATATGCCAAAATTAAGTGAGTTTTTATTTAAAACAAGCAGAATAATCTGCCAATGGGGTAAGCAAAATAATCTTGTTTTTCCTTTTGACATAAGATTATTTTTCTTACCCCATTGACAGATTATTTTGCTTGTTTTAAGGAAAAAACTTACTTAATATTAGCATATTATTTCTGAAAACAAGACAATATGTTTTGATTATCTAAAAAATTGTTCTTGATTTAAGAATTTTTAGATATTTATACTAGAAACAAGGAAAAAAAAACGAAGTAAGAAAACCATTTTTTTGCAGTGCAGTCGAATGCAGATTTTGAATGCATTATAATGATAAAATGAATATTAACATAAATGATTCTTTCTTTCTGTCTGACTGAAATTTCAGGTATGAGTTTGACGTCACCAAGTGCATGTTCTCCTCTGGAAATATCACAGAGAAGCTCAGAATAGCCTCGTTTGACTGCAGTGGAGAGACGGTGGTTGACTTGTATGCAGGTAAAAGTTACTGCTCTGGTGAAAAGCAGGAGTTTTACAAGACAAATTGTATGATCATATTGTGCTCTGCTTTTCAGGGATTGGATATTTCACTCTTCCATATCTGGTACATGCCAATGCTGCTCATGTACATGCCTGTGAATGGAATCCAGATGCAGTAGCGGCTCTTCAAAAAAGCCTGGAGATCAACGGTGTGTCAAACCGCTGCACTGTCCATCAAGGAGACAACAGACAGGTGAAAACATCTTGCACACTCAGACACGAGTGCTGAATGTCAGTATTTCTTTCTTGACACAAATATATGTTGCAATGTGGCATTTAACAATTGTTGAGCAAACAAATGACTGTCATACATTTTTATCATGATTTACAGAGGATAATCCCACAATATCACGCCATTCAATGTAACTATAATTGATATTAGGGCTGCACGATATTGGAAAAATCAAACAATGCGATATTATGTTTTACTGCAATAGATGTTGCGATATGAAAACAACTTCACCACATAACTTGAAAATCTCAAGATGATTCTGTTGGGGAGTGAATCATGCATACAATATAAAAACTATCTATGATCATAGATAAAAACAATAGAGAAAAATACCATGAAATAAACTGTGTTTTTACCATTTTAATAGAGTCTAGCGGCATTCAGTAATTCAATAATCACGTGTGAAAATACTGCATAGTCTTCATTAAATAAATAATTCACAAATAAAATCATAATTAAAGTTACAAATGGTACAATTTCTTATGCCTGAATGCTTTTCAATCTACACAGTCACAGGCCTCAAAGACACATGCAAATAATAAACTCTAATCCAGATTCAACATTGCACATGCTGCGATGTGACTATTGCGAATGATCATGTAGGGTCCAGCCAGTTGGTCCAATGACGGTATCCACTGGTGGATGAAGGTTCACTGCATGTTCGGTCATTCCAGTGCACAATGTTGATTTATATTAAACTTAACTCATATCTGACTCCAATTTTAGTATGAGATGGTTTAGAATATTAATATGTTTATCCTCGTTTTATCTGACTCCAATTATAAAACATTGATAAGATTATTTTGTTTCCTTTCACATTATTTTAGATTATGATTGAATATTCTTTTGATTTGTTATTATACCTTATTCTCATTTACTCAGATTCCGATAGCATCTCGAGTCTTGCACCGGCCGGGTATACAATCTCTTAATACAAGCTTGTCAGTCTTGGTCATTAAACAGAGACGATTAACCACTCTCCTAAAAAGGCAGAACCCTGCTTACTCAATTTAGGAGATTTTTATGTGGTCCCCATAGATCTGTTATCTACTTAATCAAGACAAAGTATTTTAATAATTATCGCGCAGGATTATACTATTGTAGATGAAGGCCTAAATATCCACATTTAAAGTAGTTTCAACAATATCTTGTTGTTCTAAATAGTTGGCCTTTTACAGTCCAAGTATACATGAATAAATGCCAATTTGTTAGTCGGATCTCTACCAACATTGTATAGCGTGCCACGCTGCTCCGTCTAACATGTTTTAGTCCGTTACTAACCTGTACAGTGGCTTGTAGTGCTATGGACAACAACATTTATCAGTGATAATAACACGAGGTTTGAATAATTCAAAACATAATTTATTAGTCAGGTAAATGTATTATGACAAATTCAATCAGTCAATTCATAAACGATCAATACAAAACATCAAATTATCAAAGATAAATCCAAGATTAAAAGATGCATTCCTGACTTTTTACATAACGTGTAAATTTTACATAACGTGGAGCCTAGGCTCCATGTTATGGGCTGATCTGGGTAGGCAGAATCGCCCTGAATCTTTCGCGGACCTTACCTTAAATAATCCAAGAATTCCCTCAAGGAAGGGGGTGTGAACAAAAGGCATTCAGAAATTGTTGGAAAGTCACACCCTTCACAGTGGTTCAAAAGATGCCTGAAGTTATATATTTATTGTTCTGATTATGTCTATTTCTGAGAGAATGAGACCATTGTACCAATCGCACTGAGACATTTCAAATGATATCAAACATGATAGTTAAAGTCAGTTTGGTTAATTCTAGAACATTCAAACATTGAAATGACCATATGTGTGAGTTGGGGGGATGAAGCTGAGTTTCAGCATACTCAGATGCAAATGCAGCAGGAACTGGTTTTTCCCGCATTCCCCCTTGCTGGGTTGTGAAGTTACCAGTCTCTGTTTTCAGCTCATGTTTTGAATTGTCAAAGATATCAGAATATTTGCAATATTTCAATTCTTACAATCACATTGCGGTATCGATGCCAAAACGATATATTGTGCAGCCCTAATTGATATACCAGAAATGTTTGCCAGACATGATTACAGAAATGACATATTAAAAGACTTTAAATAAAGTCTGCATGAAATCTATTTACATGTCTATTTTGCAAGCGCACATTGTTAGTCTTAAAGGTGCAGAATGTAAGATTGACTGCATACTATTTTGTGGTTTTGAATGGCTGCTATTGGTGTTTCATCTTGTGCAGATAGCCAAATAGCTTGTCACTGGAACGTAACCTGCTCAGCTCAAGTTTAAATATCTATTATTTATTTTTTTTGCTTATAAAATTGCACCTTATGTGGATTTTTAGAACTGTGAATTTGAGTCTCATGTTGGAGGTTGCTACAGTGCTTTCCTCCGGAAGTCATGTTTTCGGCAGCAGCTGCATACATTGATGCAGCCTTCATGACTGAAATGAAATACAGCGGGTTTTCCACCAGGGCAACCCAGGGTGATGATATATAGTTGGGTATACTGGCAGTGGGCTGGATAGACATTCAGACACTGAATGCACATTTTTAAAGGAGAGTAATTGATGACTTCAGCATTGTTTTTTAGATTTAAAAAAAAATGTAAAATGTGCAGTTATTCCATGTAAGTTAATCCACTGAAAAAAACTGTCTATTTTGATCATCTTTAATCAAAATCTATCTATTTGCTTCATGCAGTCTTTAACGATCACATTACAGCCCCATAATACCAATTAATTGTCTTTTTATATTGTTATACCTCACAACCATCCTTTAAAAAATATATATTTTTTACCTATTTGTCAGTTTTTGCTCGTTTAAAATATGATGCAATTTAGTATAAATATTTATTAATTTATACATGTTTAATAAATACTGTTACACTGATTAACGATAAAACATTATTTGACCCATTTCTTTTTTTACAAAATTTACAAAAGTCTGTAAAATTTAAACGTTTTACTTGCATTTTAATCTGCTGTCTGTGTATAAAATTGCTTATTTAAATGTAATTTGATGCCGACAACAAAACATTATTTTTTATCTTTGACCCAGAGATTATTTTTCTCATTGTGTGAAGTTTATTTATAATTTCAAGAGGATCACTTGCTTATGTCCTACGATTGATTCACCAATCAGATGATTTTTAATACACTATAAATAACCAGAGTTTCTTATCTCTGTATCTTCGTCTTGAATAATCAGCCCCTCACCCACCCTTACTCCCCCTTCTTTATTGATTGGGTGACACGGCTGTCCAATGATTAACACTGTTGCCTCACAGCAAAGATGTCTCTGGTTGAAGTCCTCACTGAACCAGTCCACATTTCTGTGCAGAGTTTGCTCATTCTCCCTGTGGTCACGTGGATTTTCTCCAGGTTCTCTGGTTTCCTCCCACAGTCCAAAAAACATGCAGCCTAAGTAAAGTGAACATATCAAATTGGCACCATAGTCTATCTCCTAGCAAGCCATATATCTCTACTTAGCCATCCCTATATCTGTCATTAGCCAGAAATAAGTCAGGGTAGTTCATCGTAAGTCACCTTACTTGCCCTGCTAATGGTAGGGAGCCCAGGGCTTGAGGATCTTATAAGCTTAGGGCTCTCTCCCGGGACAGCCTGCCAACAACATGTTTATTACCAATCATCAGCTAAATGTGAACTCCTGAAAACAACAGTGTCTGAATGTGCAAGTAAAACAAATTCAGTTCTTCACACATGATCGTTTGAATAAATAAAGTTTTTCCTATCTTATTTAGCTTTCTTTAAGTGATCTTGCTGACCGAGTGAATTTAGGCCTCATCCCAAGTTCAGAAGAGGGTTGGCCAGTGGCGTGTCGACTGCTGAAGAGAAGCACTGGCGGAATAATGCATATTCATCAAAACGTCACTGCACCTTTTCACCATGAACCATCTGAACTCAATTTATCTGTTGAAGGCTCTTCTGTGGAGGTATCTCCTCTGAGGATCCAGAAAGATATGCAAGTGTGGACTGCCTGGGCTTCAGAGACTGCCAAACGCATCTGTACACTGTTGTTAGACATCACCGGAAGTGAATGGAAGACAAATATTAGACACATAGAACATGTTAAGACTTACGCACCACATATCAGTCATGTAGTTTTGGACTTGGAGTGTAAACCGCTCTGATTAATGCACTCATTCATATAGAAAGTTGTTTTAATTACACTGTGAGACTTTTTTAAATGTGTGTACATGTTTGAGATGCAAAATAAATGTAATTTTTTAAAATGGTTTTAATAAAAAAAAAAAAAAGAATTATGTAATCTGCTTGCTGTGTTGGTTTATGTGATGATTAGCTCACTTAATATTTAATGACAGATTTGGTCTAACATTAACATCATATAAGAAGTGGCTAGGGCTGGGCAATTAATTCAAAAGTAACCTTGCAGGCACATGTGATGTCTGGTCAAGTATGATGGTGAACCCTTTCCTGAGTCTTGCTTTGCACTATGATAATAATTGCATATTCTCCATTACCAAAAATATTTGTTTACAGAAGATGCAAGAAACGCACTGTTTAAAATATTATTTACAGGATATACAAGAGTTAATTTATTTAGAAAAGGTACTTTTTAAACTGACATTGTTTTCCAAAAGTGCAAGTTTTTTTCTTTCCATTTTTTATAAAACAAAAAACAAACAAACGTGAACTCTGAAAACTGAACTACACTGTTTCAATTTACTATGATCTTCTATGTGAAGCTGCTTTGACACAATCTATATTGTAAAAGTGCTATACAAATAAAGGTGATTTGAATTGAATAAGAAAAACATGACGGTTAGTTGTATGCAATGTGTGTTTTAATTTCAGTTGATATTTAAAAAAGTAATCCTACATAGTACATAGTGTGTTTCCTCTATTATTTTAAAATCAAGTAATGCACTCTTCATTCAGAAATCTCTCACTTGTAATATGTGAGCATATTTACTGTACAAAACCAGTGAACCGTCAGGGAACTATGAAGACAATTAAATAAAATAATTGTTCATTAATTTTAATCGAGTTAAAATGTTTAGTTAAACAGGATTTTGATTTTAGGCCAAATTGCCCAGCCCTATAAGTGGCCATCAATAATTATTTTCATGGTATTCTTCCATTCATTCATTCATTCATTCATTCATTCATTTATGCATTCATTCATTTTCTTTTTGGCTTAGACCCTTTATTAATCAGGGGTCGCCACAGCGGAATGAACCGCCAACTTATCCAGCATATGTTTTACACAGTGGATGCCCTTCCAGTTGCAACTCATCACTGGGAAACATCCATACGCACTCATTCACACACATACACTATGGACAATTTAGCTTAGCCAATTCTTTTTATTGTCTATTAGTTACATTTTGGTCTGGAAATGTTGATTTTTTAAAAGCATTTTTACATTAAAATTAGCTGTATTTGTTCATTGTATCGGAAATGTTTTGTAAGATTCTTACTTTAAATTTTCGGACGTTATTGTGTACATTTTCTACCATGGAATATTGCCATGTAATTAAAACATTACATCATTTCACCCAGAAGTTATTCTTTCTTTCTTTCATTCTTTCTTTCTTTCTTAATCTATGTTTTTAGTAAGTAATTCTGTCCACATTAAATTAAATTTACAAGTGCCATTTTGAGGGATGTAAACAAAAACAATAGTCCCAACGAATTTCCTGTTTTACTTGTTTAATTTCTATAGAATCCGAAAAGAGTCACATTTTAATAAAAATTGTTGTGAAATCTGTGTTATGAGTGAATCGCCTCTTGCCACAGTTTTGAAATAGTTTGATAATAAGAAGGAAATGTTCATGGGCCTTTACAAACCATGTATATTAAATATTAGTAAAGTTGCAGTTTTAACATTTTCTGGGATAGATGAAAATTATATCATTCAGCGGTTACTGTAAAGCAACATTCAGACATCTGCGTATTAAAATAATGTGTAGATATATTCCACAATATGTGAATTATTTAGTTTGAATGTCTTTTGTATATTTTTAGATTGCACATAAGTTAAAAACCTCGCTCATGAGGAATCGCTCACATCTGCAGCGCGCATCGTCGTGAACGCGCACCTGTTGCACGGTGTTCAGTCTATGGTTCAGCGTCTGACGCGCGGAACTGCAGTGACTGAAAAGTTTCCGTTTGTTCCGGGAGGACGTTTGTTTGGCAAAGCTGGAAGTCGAAAAGCTCACACGACAGAATAAACGACAGAAAAATCCTGCGCCTTTGGTAAGTGAACATTTGAACGCATGTCGTAAAGCTTTTATTCGGTTTATCTGTTGAATGTAAGGAACATGTTTACTACACTGTTTGTTTATATTGTGCCTTCTGCAGTTTCCTTTGAGATACAACGAGTTTCTCTAGTGTTGTCATTATTAAGTCTTAATGGGCTGCATTTAAGACCTAAATATGCGTGCTAAGTTATTTTTTAATGTTCATGTACTTTAGCTGTTAGTTTTCTTTTGCAACTTAAGTTTAATTCTTTTAATAAATTCGATTACATAGTTTAATTTTATCGTGTATAAGAGCAACATAGTTCTGTATAACAGGAGGAAAGTCCATTGTAGTGCTCACATTACTCCTCTCTGTTTTCCCTCAGACATTTAAAGAATGAGGAAAAGTTTGCCTCAGATTGTCTATTTGTTCGGGATGTAGACCAAACCAGTTTTAATGAAAGGTTATTATATTTTTTCCTCAACCTTTTGTCACCAGTTTATCTCTAAGGACATTTACAAGCCTTTTACTGTTAATGGTTATCATAAGTGTCTCATTTAGTATTGTAGGTTTACTAAAGACCTCCACCCATCGTTGTGTTTCCTTAAAGGGTGGCAACTCTTGTGATACACACACACACACTGAATGTTGTTCCTCTTTTCCTGATGACATTCCACCGCTTGGCCTCTTTTCCCATACTCTGTTGGCCTTTAGTAATAAATTTTATTCATTAGCTGTCCATAATTCTCCAGCCAACAAATCAAAACAAGGTTCTCATGCTCTCTGGGTATGTTTTCCCCACTACTGTTTTTCCATTCAGAGGTAGCATGATAAGTCTTGTTTATAAATATTTATCCTTCATTTTCTTTTCGGCTTAGTCCCTTTATGAATCAGGGGTCTCCACAGCGGAATAAACCGCCAACTTATCCAGCATATGTTTTATGTAGCAGATGCCCCTCCAACTGCAAACCGTCACTGAAACAACCATACACAATCAGTCACACCCATACACTATGGACTATTTAGCTTACCCAATTTACCTATAGCGTATGTTTTTGGACTATGAAGGAAACCGGAGCACCCGTAGGATACCCATGCCAACACGAGGAGAACATGCAAACTCTACACAGAAACGCCAGCTGACCCAGCCTAGGCACAAACCAGTGACCTTTTTGGTGTGAGGCGATCGTGCTACCCATTGCGCCACCGCATTACCTATAAATATTTCTATTTTTGCTAAATAAATATATTATTATATATGAAGAGTGCAGATGCAAAAGTGCCATCTGAGATTTTCTTCTAATATTAGCATTTTTACCAGGCTCCTGTTTCTTGATTCCGGTGATGTTTTTCTCAGGAATTGTAATTTTTAGGTAGTAGTTTTAAAAATGTGAACTTTTACTTTACATTTTAGTTTAGTATCGGTACTTTTACTCTACTACTTTCCTTCAACCTGCAGTCACTACTGTATTTTTTTCTTGTCTATGGGGATTAGAAAAATCAGTCCTGTGATTCCTGTCCAATCAAATCCCACATAGAAGGTAAGTCACATCATAATGAACTACCTCAAGACATGGTTGATTTACTGTTTGCAAGCATTAAAAGTTTCCAAGAAAATGTCCAAAATTGACCCAGAGAAAGTTTAGATACAGGTCACTGATGAAAATATGATGCATGATTACTGTATGTTGGCCAAAATGGCCTTGAACACCCAGCAGGCACAAGATGTCAAGATGATGTCAGATTGACGTTGTGCCCAAACTTCGTGGGGATGTTGCATTTTATTTGGAAATTAAAATCCGGTTGACATCAGAACCCAACGTCAGCCTGACATCAATGTCAAACATAAAATCAACCAAATATCAACTTCTAATGATGTTACAGCTTGACGTTGTGTGGACGTTACCACTATGACGTCTATCAGATGTTGGATTTTGGTTGCCATACCTGACGAATAAATGTCTTTGACAAGTATTTGACATCAATATGATGGTTTAGGATGTTGGCTCAACTTTGAATTTTGGTCACTTTTCAACACAACCTAAAATTAACCAAACATCATTCGACCTCATTTTTGGACATCAAAAAAACGTTGTCCTTAGACGCTTACTAGACATTGAATTTTGGTCACCTGACGTCACAAAGTAAATGTAACCTAATATTAACATCTTACGTTGTGTGCCTGCTGTGCAATAACTAAATGCACTACAGAATGTTATGTTTATACACATCCACAGATTACATGTAAATGCATCGGCTTTTCACAGCATAATACTCACTAGTCTTGAGTGCAATTGAATGGTCTACTTTTCACTCATACTTTGAGTAATATTCACAACAGATACTTTTACTCTACTTGCACAACATTTGTAGGCAAGTAATGGTAGTTTTACTTAAGTATGATTTTCAGTACACTTTCCACCACTGCTTGATTCAGTAATTTCACCTTTATGGCAAAGAATAGGTTATTTTCATTGCTAAGAGGCTGAGAAAAATGTTCATTGTAAAAGAAAATTCCAGATGGCACTTAGAGGTTTTTGTATCTGAACTCTTTATATATTATATTATATTATATTATATTATATTATATTATATTATATTATATTACATTACATTACATTACATTACATTACATTATATTATATTGTATTATATTACACTTTTTAGTGTGCTATGCAAGCCTTGTATCTTCACTGGTTTAGAGGATTTTTGAAATTTCACTCAGAAATTAAAATTAAATGAAAATTAAATTAGCATGTTAGAATTTGTGCAGGAGAATGTGTAATTGAATAACCACTGAATACTCATGTAATAGCTCATAAAAGCCACAGCTACCACATACATAGATGACAATTTAAATATTAAAATGTATGTATTAAGTATATTATGTATTAATTTTCCTATACTGTAATTTTGCAAAAATAAATAAAGGCTGCCTTAGTGATTATATAAAATATGATTAAATTATTTTTATATCAATTTATTATTATTATTAAGAAAGAATTTTAAGTCTTAAAATGGTTTAATTTAAACAAAAGTAATTTTATAAAGCATTTATAC